AGAGCATTTTGACTGAATGAAAGTCTCTTTTACTCTCCAGTGCTGCACATGCCCTACGGAGGAGAGCCAGGATGCTATTCCACATTCTGTTTAAACAGATGTAATTCCTCTTTGCTGCCTTAAAGGGACTGAGTTTCCCTGCAATGACTGCACTCTCTTCTTGTACCAGCGTTATCCTGAACTCTAGCAAGAGTACAAGAAAGCAGCAAGGCAACACGTTTAGCAGAGCAGCATCTTAAATTTAGAACTTTGTTTAAAAGATATTTAAAATTAATGCAACCTATATTATTTAGAATTATATCTAAATGAAGCAAAAGTCATATATCTTTGTTAGACTAAAATGTCATGCTGCCACAATTGGGATAGTATTTTGTCTGTTTGAAAAACAATTACACTTGAAAACAGCTTTATGCAAATATACTTTGTTGGCTGTAATAAAAGTGTCACCTGAGCCTCCATTCAAGGTATTTCCCCAACCAACAACTGAACCAGGAAATCTGTGAGCTGAAATTCAATCTTTCCAAGAAAACAGTTGAGAAAGGAAATTCTTCAACAACTGTAAAACGCACTAAGTGTGTAAATTCATTTAGTGCCTTCATTTTTTGACTGTTTTGATTCAGTTAATTGCCATGTTAGAATTTATGGGAAAACAGAGTATTGTTCTGGCTTTGGCTCCATGTTTGCCCAATGCCCATACTCAATAAAAACCATCAAAATTAGAAATAATGTTAGTAAAGATCAGACCAGTTTGAGGTACTGAGTGTCATTTAAAGATATCAACAGTAAATTTGGTGTGGGGTAGATAAGAAATCTCAGGTTAAAAGTTCCTCTCTTTCCCAATTTCCACAAAAATTCTCCTTTTTAGTTTCCAGTACAGTTGTACATATTCAGATTAGTTAATGTCTTGATGTATTGTGTAATTTCACTACTGACAATTTCTCAGTCTTGAGTATGTGTTTTTTCAACACTTTTTACAACTACAGAAAAATTAGGCCACGCAATTATATTATTCCTCTTATTTCCCTTCATCTGCAAACTGCATTTTATGATACTCCACTATTAATTGCTGAGGAGATATTACAACTCAAGGGACACTCTGGCAAGCTCAGAGAAGCACATCATGTCCATTTATCTAATGTCCTCTTCTCTGTTTTATTGAAGTAAGTCATAAATAATTGTCCCATATGAAACAATGACCAAAATGATGGCTACATTTTTTCTCATCCAGCACACTGACCATTCGTACACATTAAATCAATATTCAAATTTTCAGGCAAGCATGGAAACAGGATGCATTGTCTGATCTACAAAAGCTCAGAAAGATCCAGTGCAGATCCCACAAGGATCCCACAGGGCAGGTGGCACAATCCCATTGCA